TACAGAAGCACAGGTATGGGACTGACTGATCACGAACCTTGGATGCAAACACATAAACAGCAGATCCTGGCAACTAAGGGATGTAACTCTGGCAGTTATAAATGTACCTGAGAATATGACCATCTGAAATATTTTCTATCTTGAGTGAATGAACAGAAGCGTATATGATCTGAAAGCTTTGCAGTTCATTAATCACTCAGTCATCTGCAGTTGCAGTTCAAGCTGGTTAATGAGTACAAAATTGCACAGAATATTACCATTACATCATGATGTTTCAGCTTTATGTAGGAAGAAAGTCTAAACTTACACAACACATAGATGTTTACCATGTTGATACTGATGAGCATCATAATCTTGTGTAATTGCAGGACAGAATCCATCACTTTCTAGTATCTTAGGGAGGCAACTCTGGAAACAGTGGGGATGCAGCTATCACAAGGAACAGTGAAACTTGTCATTACAGATTTTAGTGCTTGTGGCCCCAAATATAAATTCTAACCTGAACTATAAATTCTAACCTGAACTACAACTAAATCACATAAACATGATAAAGAAAGCAGATAAGTCAGATATTCAATATGCTGTTCATAAATACAAAATCACTCATGGATAAAAGTCCTTTTCCCTAAGCTTATCATTTAGTAAGATTTGGAGATTATCAAAGCACTTCTGAATAACAGCCTTTGAAATAACCATCCGCTGTGCAGATTCAAAGGAAATGTTCTCTTTGTCCCACAGATGAAACCATTCCAATGTCAAATTCAGCCCATCTTGGAAAACTTCAAAAGCCAAACTGAACATCAGTGTATTGAAGATACTTCAGCATGCACCATGTATGTTTTTGATAGGACTCAGAGATTGTCTTGTGTGGATGTGTTCATGTGTGTGTGAGTGTGTGTCCGTGTCTCTGTGCATGTTTTCAGCTAAACTTTACTAAGTCAAGATCTCACGGTCATGATAATGGGAGATACTCGGAGACAGCTTGTGAAGTAACTAGGTAGCCAGAACGTCAAATGATCAGAAACAGCTTAACTCACAGGAGATCTTGCAGACTGGGATATAGACTTTAATGAAACTAGTTACATTTGCTGGTAACGGCTGTACGTGCTCTTGTAAAATGTTATATCTACCACCTGAAGATTCCCATGTACTCCCTGGAGTAGCTTATCATTAAAACAATAAAGAAAGCAGTAAGGGACTAAAAATTGCTGATATGACTAAATTCAGAGATTGCCTAGTGTAGTTTCAACTGAAACTGAAACACGTTTAACTCTTCGTAGGTTCATTCACAACACAAGTTTGTTACCCATAATAGGCTCATTTACGACCGAATGTGTGACCCGTAACAGGTTCATTCATCACAAATGTTTAACCCTTGAGGTGCGCCCTCATTCATCACACAAACGTTTAACCCTTGAGAGGCTCATTCATCACACTAATGCATCACCCTTGATTTGGTCAACCACTGCATAAGTTCCATGACAAAAAATTCCCATTTCTCTTTCTCAGTGTATTTCTATCTCGTAATCAAAGGCCACCTGTGCAAACAAATAGCTGAAATTCAAGTGTAGAGGCATTGGCAGGTACATTCAATTGCCTCAAGTAATTGAAGTAATGAGAAAAAAAACCTTGAAATTTGAAGGGAAAAAAAATCAAATAACAAGAATCTGTTTGAAGCACTAATATGGCAATGTCCCCAGCTGCAAAAGAATGGAATATTTATAACATATTTACTACTTTTTATTTTTGGGTCACATACAAGATGCCTGAAATGACTGGTGTCTGCATCATCACCCAATGTAGGCTGTCGACATAATTGAAGACATTGGGTGCAATGTTTTATGAGATATCGCGTTTAAATAAGTTTGAAAAGTGGTCAAAGTGTCGTGGTGACCTTGAAGATAAGGTCAAGATCACCCACATCAACTGGTGTCTGCATAATCCCCCAATGTAGGCGGTCAGCAAATTTGAAGATATTGGGTACAACAGTTCATGAGATATCGCGTTAACAAGAATCGGGACATACATACGGACGCCGCTGAATACATAATCCCCCGTTCCGCGTTGCAGCGGGGGACAATAAATTCAAAATTTCGAGTATTTTCAATAAACGTGAAATCACAATTATGACAACAGGAAAAACCTTGAAATTTAAAAAAGAATAAACAAATTTATAAACCAAGAAATTTGTGTAAAAAAAGAAATTGAGCTACCAAAAGTGGCTACCAAAGTGGCATCATGCCCCTAATGAAGAGCGTTCAAATCCAAGGACGGTGGGGTAGCCTAGTGTTTATGTTGATGTCTCTCCTGGTAAACTCTACCTGTTGCATGGATGATGTCACACAGGTGACTGGGTTCTTATTTCTCGACTGTGCTGTACTTGAGATGAGGTGGTGGGGTACCCTTGTGGTCCATGCGTTCGCTTGTCATGTTGAAGCCCCTGGGGTTCAATTCCCCACATGGGTACAATGTGTAAAGCCCATTTCTGGTGTCCCTCGTCGTCATATTGGTGGAATATTGCTAATAGCAGAGTAAAACTCAATTCACTCACTCACCTGAGATGAAAATAGCTGGATCTGTTGCAACTAAATTTCACCTAGTTTCTATGAGCTTCTTGAATGTTGTCAGTTAGTTACCTTTTCCTTATATAATATTGAGAATACAGTTATGATATACCCACAATGGTCAGAATGGTCAGAATGTGTAGATCTGATTGGTTCATGTTATCTTGATATATCCTAGGTGGGATATAGATTTCTGACAGTGAGAACCATCCCTTTTAATCCATCAAGAAAAAGAGCCTGGACATGGAGAATAATCACTTGCACCCTGCTATGAATAAAAAAGCTACACCTATTTATTGGTAAACAAAGTCACGTGACACATCACAACTTAGATAAGTTGAACACCTGTTTTCTATTTTTTTAACCCTTACACGATGAAAATATGTTGGCACAACAAATTTGTGGTATAAAATATCACTCGGTTTATATTGGTTTTATAAGTCCTACATTAGGTTTCATAACTCTGGGCTGTGGCTCGTGGTATAAAACCTAACATAGGAGGCATATAACAACATATACCCCACTCAATATATAAAGTGGCACTGCTCCAGCTTATAAACGATGCCGTGCTTGCACCTTATAGACATCACTTATACAATATGTTACAGAGTTTCTATATTCTTGACATCTATATCAAAATACTTTAAATTCTCTGTATATACTCTGAAAAAGATAATAAATTTGATATGTATGGTTTTAATAAGCACCAGCCATCAGTCAATCTTCAATGCATCTAGGTAACACATTATGGCGAATGAGATGACTTAACTTGAACTTTCAGTGCATGAGTGTCTTTATGTACTGAGCATAAAGGTGGCTTCCACTTTATTACACATCAATTCTTACAGATTTCTTGCATGAACGCAGCACCATGAAACACAATTGATTATGGTTGTATCGCAGGTGCTGTGAATCATTAGGTATCAACCATTATAAAAGCACAATATCCATTCGAAATTTTAAAATTAGAACATCTTCTCCAGCTAAAAGTTGATGTATAACAGTTTTCTGATTTGATTATACACAATGAGGGCTACCTCTGCAAGATCAATATTAAAATACACTGCCATTTGCCAACTGCATGATGACATAAATCCTTCGTAACAAGTTATTTGATGGCATTTTAGAAGTTAGTGAGCAAATAATGAATCATATGACTTTATGGCTTGATAACAGTGTAAAAATATACATCAACACGTAACTCTATACCATAAACAAGAAGTAGTCACCCACTGTATCCTTTGTTACTTAGTAACAAGGTTAAAGGTTAATCTCCAAATCACATACGAGCATGTACAAAAGTCAATACCCAAAATATATTGATTTTCACCATTCTAAATATGCTTTGATGTGTCATACATGTTTAAATAACTTCAAATAAAACACAAATGCCAACATACAGCACTGTATCTGAAGGTAGGGCATGAAAAACATATATTACCTATCCACTTAAAAGTTTGTGAGCTTGTTGATCAAGTAGATGTGCATGTTCGGCTCACTTACCCATGCTTAACCTCTTTGGGTGGCTATAAAATTCATAAATCGAATCCATGTGACCCTCTTGTGACAGTGTATAAACTCATGCTTTCCCGTCAAAAGTTCCTTCCCACCCATACTCCCTTAATTTCCCATGGCTTTCCCTTCCTCAATACTCAATACTGACCTTGCCCCTCCTCAATACTCACCCTGACCTTGCCCTTCCTCAATACTCACCCTGACCTTGCCCGCCTCAATAGTCACCCTGACCTTGCCCTCCTCAATACTCACCCTGACCTTGACCCCTCCTCAATACTCACCCTGACCTCAGAACCTTCAACAACTCAGTGCACCCATTCAGGTAGAATGGCAGAACATCCCACCTTGCAATCAACATCTACGATGCTTCGTTGTTGTGAGGCAGAGATTCAGGCACGCCACAATGTGTGAAGTCCATTTCTGTACTGACCCCCTCTGATCCTTCTGGAGACTTAAAAGCGGTGAAACCGTCAGCCAGTCAGTTTGAAAAACATCTTGTGATTCATTTTTAAGCTTGAAAATCTTAAATTTCCCACTGCAATAAAAACAATAGATGCATGAATATTGTTGTTTTATGTTCTCCTTTAACACCAACTGTCAAAGAACTTTTTTTAACAGTATACATTCTCTTATCACTCTACCTCAACTCACCCAGTAGACATTGTTTGGTAGTTGACGTACGAATCTGTTAATATATATATAGCATTCCAATTGAACACTGCAATAAGCTATATTTGGCCCATATCAAACAGCATACAATGCCTGTAGACACACAATACAAACAGACTACACACACAAGATTTGAACAATATCAGGGAAGATAACCTCTGTGCCTTTTTTGTCATCCATGCATGGATTCTGAACTAAACAGAACCTGAGTTCACTCAAATACACTCCATGCATTATAATATGGCCACTCACTTGACAAACTGGTTGACATGCTGCATTGACGTCTCGTAGTTCTTGCCCCCAACTTCCTGGCAGTGGAGAGCCACAAAACATGGCTCGAGGCGCTCGATACACTGAAATGACACATTGACAAATATTGTTACTAGGTCAAGATTACACTTGAATTTGTTTCTGTGGAAACAAATACAAGTCCATTTATTTAACGTTATGAAAATATATCAGGGTACTGTGCAACAATCAAACTATGCAAGGCTCCATTTCAGGAAATGAAACCTACTTGCACCAGGTGCAACCTTAGGCAATAACCTTGTTGCACCAGACAAAAACAGGTTGCACCTGCAGCTCAATAATAAATCATTTTTAATGTTTGTGTTTTGGTATTCTCGATTAAGAACATCAATACAACAGAATTATTCTGGGTTTGATGAGATCATTCTATCTTACTTTATAGAACGTCATGACCTGACTCATGGCTCCAGGCCAGTTCCTCATCACTTTGTTTGTCAACTGAAGTCTGTGTTCTTTGACTAGCAAAACATCAAGTACAAGTTGGTATGGGGTTTCATTTTGCAGTTTCAGGATGTGCCAGTGGAAGTTCTAAATGCTTAAATCAGTGACAACGGAGCCCTTGCTAAAGCGTGGGAGTCACGACAGTCCCTCAGATTGCTCTGTAACAGGAGTTACTGTTCAATAAAATAACACTCCCAGCTATGGCATCAACTATAAATAAATATATTTGATTATTGCAAGAACTTATCTCAGCAAAGAATCTGATGCCACCACTGCCCCAGGAATGTTCAAGGTTTGGGAGTAAGAGGGCAGGGTAGAACATTACTGGGACAATATTTCAAGAAAGTCACAATATGACAGCTTTCTTTGGTAAGAAAGATAACAGTAACCATGGGTCTTCTATGTAAACAAACAACAATGGAGAGTGAGGGAGACAAGGTTGGGTTGTTCAAAACCAGTTCATCTTCATTAGGGAGGCAAGCAAGAGTTGCAGAAGACCAATTCTATTCAGGATCTTTATGAGTCATTGTCTTTGAGTGAGTGAGTAAGTCAGTTATGTTTTCGCCGCTTTTAGCAATATTTAAGCAAAATCACAGCGTGGGACACCAGAAATGAATGAGCTCTGGAGAAATACATGTCTCTTTCAGAAACTGGTTCAGAATAGTTCCCAAGCACTCAATTTCTTTCCTCAGTTGTGTATCATCATACCCTGGGAAATTGGTCATAACATCAATCACTGGCCTCACTGATCCAGAATGAATAAATGAATATAGATAGCTTATGCTGCATCAGTAACTTAATGATAACGGTGGCAGGTCAGATGTGATTATTTAAGAGGTGAGGTGAAATTGGGTTTAACTTCGTGCTTGAGAATATTTCACTCATATGACGACGTGCATGCGTGTGTATGTGTATGTGAGGCTGCTTGTTCTAGCCCAGACTTAAGCTGGTTTCATAGTGCTAGCCCACTGAGATACCATGCCGCAGTGAAGCATTAATACCCCACACAGACACATTATACTGACTCCGAGCCAATCCTTGCTGTACCCATTAATGCCGAGCACCAGGCAGGGACCAACAAGTACCATATTTTAACGTCTTTTGGTATGACGCGGTCGGGGATCGGATTATTTAAGAAACTGTGGTACAGCCACATAATGATGACTGCAGCATCAAACAAGCACCAGATGAATTTTCTGTCTAAATAATACTATGTGTTAAAGACAAAGGCTGTGGTATAATATCTTATACTGCACCTGCAACAGTGTGACTATACAAGATACATGACAGGTTCACAAACACCCTCCTAAGATAATACCATCACTTAGGGGCTTTTCTGCCCCATCAATCATCTCTATCACAATCATCATCCAATCATTCAGGCCTCAGTGCATCGCAAGCCCTGCTCGTCCAATACCATGCCTCATACCATATACTAATGCATATTGATCCAAGTGTTTATTTCATCCCTGACACATGCAAATGTCAGCTTTACTTGATCCCCTGGCTACAAATAATAATCCATACATCAGTCACCTGTCTCAGCAACAACGCTTGACAAGGATGGTGGGAGTTGAAATAGCTGAGTAGAACTTTTTCATGTGAACATGAAACTGCCAGGATTTTAAACAACCCAAAAAAGACATAAGCAATTTTTGCCAGGCTTGTAGAAATCTTCCCTGGTTTGAAGCTAGTTCAGCGAAGATGAAAAAGTAGGATATCCCTTTCATAGCTTCATTCACAATTCAGCGGAGCCTCAGTGGAGAGCATCAGTGAAGCATCATGACAATTATGTCTTTGAAAAGAAATTTGAAGTTGGACGAACATAAGTGAGTGAATTTGGATTAACGCCACCTTGAATGATATTGCAGTTACAACATGACTTGTCAGATTTACGTAGGAGGAAATTCTGAAGTGATGCAGGAATTAGATGCTTGGACCTAGATTTTCGAAGCTCTCCCAGTGTTAAGGTGGTCGTAAGTGCCATACATTAACATTAACGACAATCTTAGCTCGAAGAGAGCTTTGAAAATCTTGGTCTTAGTGACCACCACTTGGGAATAAGCCTACAAGCACAGATGGTCCAATCCAGAAACAATTGGGTGAAGCAACATTCAAACATTGCAGGTCACCGGAATGTCAAATGACAAAGTCCGTGGTCTGGACTACCAATTGTCCAAAGTCCATTTTTGTGGAAGTCACTGTTCCTTAGATGGTTAGATGGCTGACTTCATGTGCTGGCGATTAGGTGTGAGTGTGTGTTCGAATCCCAGATGGGACCCAACAAAAGTACTAGAATCTGTACTTTACTGAGAAAGTGTAATCCAAAATATAGCATGTGTAATAATCTGGATTCAGGGCTCCTTGTTGTCCCTTCACCTGATGATGTTTCATGTCTTCATCATGTTGTTTTGTTCTGTCACGAAACACCACACACAATGTTCCCTCTACAAGAAAGTGGCCTGTAAATACACAAGTCCAGATCAGACAATCCAGTAATTGGAACACTGATCCCTGCCAGCGAGGTATGATAACACACAATCAATCAAGTCAACAAGTCTGCCCAAATAATCCATTTTGTCACCTCTTCAATGACCAGATAAGGCTGCTAGTGACATGTTCTAACCCTGGATCTGTACAGGTTTATCTCCGCAATTACTCTTGTATATTGGACATACAATGATAATCATCCAGAAAATGTTCTATAAACAATAAATCAAGTTTACATATATTTTTCAGGGATTAATCTAGATGTTCTCAACAGACAACATTCAGCCTAAGGTATACATTCAGTCAGTATGAAATGAGTAATTTCAACTCAATTTACTATTGTTGTAACTACAGTTTCATATTTGCTCCTAATTCACTGTTTCAGCTCTTAATTGCAGAAAATTTGGAACCATTCAGTTTTTAATAAAAGAATTTTTTTTCCAAATTATCCTGCCACAGGCACTTAGATTAGTACATTGGAATGTGGAAACTTACAATTGAGAAAATGGAGGAAGAAAGTCAGGTCAAGTAATAGTAGAAATGGTCAAGATCTTATTGGATAGGTTAGGTTTTTGGAAGCACAAGAAGTACAGTAAACGTGAAATGTCGAAGTCAGTTTGGTTTGTTATGTTCTTGCCATGGATAGGCCTACTAGGGAGATAACTTGAGAGAAAATCACTTTCACGATTCTGACTTTTTTTGTCAGTATGTTTTGATGGGAAACATCACCTGTGAATAATATATTTCTGTTAAGATTTTGTCTTACACAATAAAGATAATAAGAAAACTTGTCATATTATTTTTCCCACGATACCATTGCACAGAAAACAATATTGTAACACGCATCATTTGTAAAGCATATTACGGTTTACGGGTATAGCAGTAATTATAGGGGTATGCCAGTAATATCATGCAGTGTATCTCCTAACAGTTTCAACAAAGACAGGCTGAATGCACCAGTGTTCATCACAGTGGTGTAATTCAGTGGTTTTACAGTCAAATCCCGATGAGTCGAATGTCGGTGTCTCGAATATAATGCATAACTCGAAGTACCTGTCGGTCCCGACCATTCCCTGTTATAGTTGTCATCATTTGAATACCGGTTACACGAATTCGTTCGTCTCATAAATACACACGATGACTCGAGAAGGAAATTTGGTCCCATGATATTCAAACAACAGCAATCTTGTATACATAAGCCGAAGTCAGTCAATGAGAAGTTGGTTGCAAACTGATCCAATTAACAAACCAGCGCGGCTCACACCTTTCCGCCATTGACGGGTGAGTTCAAAAGGCAGATTGGTGATTTTACGGAAATCACTGTCTGTGCTAATCAGACTGGAACTCATAAGGTGCCCCTATTAGTGATATGGAAATCATTCGATAAACAAATGCTTAGGCGGCGGAATTAGGACTGGATCATCTTTTTTTCTACCCTCATAGACATGCCTATGTCTCGAATACATTGATAAGTCGAATTTATTACTTGGTCCCCAGCGATTCGACTGATCGGGATTTGACTGTATTTAGTGTTATTTGCCTGTATTATCCAGATAACGAAGGAAGTCAAGCAGGTGTTAATTGATCCCTCTGGTTCACAATGATGACTAAGTGGTACAAGACCCTGAATTCCAAATGAGCTGTGTTGATTACATTACAGATAATTGGTTCCAATGGGAAATTTGCAGCTAGGTTTGACATTAAAGCATTCCGGAGTAATTTTGTTCTACCATATTAGAACCACACCTGCATTCTGTGCTCAGACACAAAGCAGTACATGAACACAGCAAGTGAATGTTTATTCCCCATGCTTTATAAGCTGGGACATAAGTTAAAAAAGCAAATATGTATGCACAACCGTAACCCAGCACTCGTGAAACATCAAACTGAATGATCAACAACAAAATAAACCATGAGAAAGTATATCTGACAAGCTACAACTGGGCCTGTGTATTTTCATGAAAGAGTTTGGTGTTGAAATTGAGGTGGGTACTGGGATCTTGGCAACCTTCTTCTCTGGCAGTTGGATCAAGGGATCGATAATTCATCAAACTTATACCGTGAGGGACATGACAAGAATCCCTAATGGCTTTCGTGCTTAGTTGGTACATAATATCTCAATGTCTATATTGCTTCAAGTATGACTACACACCTCAAATATAATCATATTGGATTGCAATGAGAAACATGAAAGACATGGATGGCAAAATGATTACTGGTATTACATACATAATGGTAGGGATAGAGTAACAAGCTAGAGAAACAGTGTGAACAACCGTGACAAATTCTTGGTTTAAACGAAATGACCACATGGGATAATGTCCAGATTAGAGGTACCTATTGCACCTGTGTATCTTCAAGAACCCCTCTCTCCTTACATGCCAACATGAACTCTGCGTTCACCCTCGTCAAATCTGCTCTGTGTACCAAAGTGGAACCTCAAATCATTTTGCTACAAGTCTTACCAGAACATGGCATCAGTCAATTGGAATTCCCTCCTTGATGAACTTAAGCTGTCTCCAACCATTGAAAACTTTAAGCATAATCTCAAAACCTTTCTCTACAAAAAGTTCTATATCAATTAGGACTTCAATAATGCCTTATTGATTGTTAGTGCTATGAGCATACCTGGTGTAGAGTTTGGCGTTATATACATGGACACATTATTATTATTATTATGTAACAACATAGTGACCATGCGATGTGATACATATCTCAATGATATGGGTGCGACATATTTTTAACCTCATACAGTAGTTGTATTACATAAATTCATATTCTCTTCCTATCTGCAGGCAAGTGACACAACCCTGAAATATCTGCTTTTAAATCACGACAGCAGAGATAGGATATTATAGGAGAGAAACATATAAGCTTGGGGCACTCTGAAGACTGCTATTTATAGCTAACCAGGAAATATTGTCTGCATAAACTGGTTCTTGAAGAGTTCTGTTCACATACATTTCCATCAATACATCCTGCACTGTAATGCATCGTAACAGGCGTTGTAAATCAATGTATTTTTGTGAGCTTCATATTGCATTATAATACATAATTACTGTATCGTTACACCAGTAATACAGACACAAGAAACAATGGATGCTGACATATATCACAGAACCATATCATTAGAACAGAGCAAGAAGTAAATGGACATATTCTGGGCTTGAAATGAGGCTTGAACCAAGAACCAATGGGAAGTGCTGTGAGGTCTATCTTGTACTTAAATCAACTGAAACATTTCATGGTAACTACACCTGTTGCATTTCAAACTGTTCCTCATCGTGACTGGAAGTGTCTTAACCCACAGCTTGTAGGTGGTATGTAAATGGATCGGCCGTGGTTATAGTCTGTCCTACAGACCCTGAAGCAAATATATCCAAGAAAGCCTCTGGGCTCCTTTTTATTATATTTACAATTTAATTTAAAAACTTTTATTTTCTGTAAGATATGCTCATTTCAGAGGCTAGCTGTTAGTGTACCATGGTTGGTGTTGTCTTCATAATACTCAGACAACACTGATCATTGCTGATACTATCGATCACGGGTTTGTCTGGTCCTGACTCCTTCAACCATCCCTCATATTGCTGAAACACTGCTTATATTTGTTGTCCTTAACTTGCACAAGACAGTTTATCTAATTGTAATGCATTGATATGTCAACAGCATCAGTCCAAATGCTATACTTACAAGCAAGCCATACAATAGAGCTAATCACAGAATAACCTGGTGGTGGGAGAGACAGCATGTATTTTTGGTAAGTGCGCGATGAAACGCAGTTTTATTCCTGGGAACCCCAGAAACAGCCTGACCTAGACCTCCACACTTACTCCACTGGTCTACCCACTAGTCTGTCTCACAGTCCCTGAACCACATTATTTTCCTTACAGCCTGGCCCTCCCTGCAATGTAGTCTGTCTCACAGTCCCTGAACCACATTATTTTCCTTACAGCCTGGCCCTCCCTGCAATGTTAAAAGCCCTAAATGAAGCAAGTCTAGATTTTCACACATTCAGGTTCAAAATCTGCCATCTCACTTGGGCCCCTTTTCAATTTAAATGGGTTTATTTGTTACTATCAAAATTATATATATTCAGAGACTAAGCTACAGTCTAGTCTACATTCTCTTTCTGACTGTTAGTAGAATCTGACCTTGACATCAAACCATGTTTTCACCATGCTATTTACATTCAATGAACATTAGATCAAATGTGAACTTTGTTTCAAATGTGTGGGTGTCAGATCCGGAGTAATCACCCACTTGTGTAATTACATGCAATAATATCCCGACAGTAAATACCATTTGGCAGACATAAAGGTCATCCTGAGACAGCCTCAAACCATGTTTCATTAAATGTCAGACTGTAGGTGTGAGCTGTGGTCTGTATATAGCTCATAGGGACATTGTTCTCATGTTGACATTGAATTATACATGAAAACATCTGCATGTTTCAATATAGACAGAATTAATGCAGAGCACACTATCAGTATCTCTCCCTGTTGTGAGTGAGCGAGTTTATTTAATGCCGCTTTTAGCAATATTCCAGCAACTTCAGCAATGGGGGACACCAGAAATGGGCTTTACACACTGTACCCATGTTGGGAATCAAAACCCAGGTCTTTGGCGTGATGCTTAACTACTTAGCTACCCACCGTACCTCTCTCCCGGTTGTATGACAGTGTCATATAGGATAACATGGTTGTATGACAGTGTCATATAGGATAACACGGTTGTATGGCAGTGTCATATAGGATAACACGGTTGTATGACAGTGTCATATAGGATAACACGGTTGTATGGCAGTGTCATATAGGATAACACGGTTGTATGACAGTGTCATATAGGATAACACGGTTGTATGGCAGTGTCATATAGGATAACACGGTTGTATGACAGTGTCATATAGGATAACATGGTTGTATGACAGTGTCATATAGGATAACATGGTTGTATGACAGTGCCATATAGGATAACACGGTTGTATGACAGTGTCATATAGGATAACATGGTTGTATGACAGTGTCATATAGGATAACACGGTTGTACGACAGTGTCATATAGGATAACATTTCTGAAAGTGACACTAAGGCTGATCAACAGAAGGTTAAAGAAGTGTTATCCCTCATACAGATTCACACAACAAAATATCCCAAATATCAAACTTATACAGTTCAGCAATTCAAGCTTTAATGATTATCTTTGGAAAGGAACATATTTTGGGAACCGAACCCAGGCCTTTGGCATGGCTGAATGTTAAATCCACTTGGGTACCCAATATTACCCAGGTGTTGTTGTTTCTGTTGTTTGCTGTTCAGTGTGTAAATAATCATGAGGGTCTGTCAAGGCAGCCCGACTGACTCCATGAGCATCCAAGTTAGGCAAGTCAGAACAGCTGATCCTGTTAGGAGTCTCTTACAAGCTCAAGTTGCTGAAGATCAGTTGTCACTAAGTACAAACTATATGTGGTAGAACTATGGGTATGAAAGCAAATTGGAAAATATACTGAAGCATACTCACTCCTAGGAACTCCTTCAGCCATGGCTTGAACATCTGTTCAGGCTGAAAGGAAACAAACAGACGATAAATAACATGCACTTACTGTAATTTTCACAATTACCAATTCCTAAATATTATATTTGTTTATTGCTACACCCATCAATATGACAATCTGAAAATATTCAAACTTGGACCAGTGAAACCAGTGATTAATATCATGAGCAATGATTTACACCATCAGGGTAAATCTCATGAAACTATTATCAGAGGTCTGACCATCCCGTCCATTATGTTGCATCTCTTGAAAAGCATTGATATTAAGGAAAAAATTCTAAATATATAAAGAGAGGGACACTGTCATTATCAAGATTGTTTTGTTTATATAGCAATGGGAATATCTAGTTTTTTTTGTTGCTGCAGCTCAGACTAATGCCAGTTTTAAAGTAACTTCCTTAGTGGCATTTAGAAGCTGGTATGATGAAAAGGTTTTTAAAGTAATAGCCAGCTTTCAGTGCAACATGTCTGTCTGACTAGACATAGTATACATGGTATGCTGGTTCTGAACCAATCAGTTCCTGTTTTATTCCCCTACTCCACATCACCAGGAAGCGTAACAACATGTACACTATTTTAATGTTTCTCATCCAACAGCACCAGAGAATCAACCCAGTCACTTCCAGCTCACCAAGCAGGTACTCTAGCCACTGGACCACTGAACAGTTCATGAAGGATTTGTACAGCATGGCACTTTGTTAATTACACTGTTCTTTGTACAAAATGACCTGTTTGCCCAAAGTTTGAAAATACAGTGTCCATAGAGTTTCATCACAACAACACAGATGTAGAAAAATTTGCCAGATATTTACACATGTGGGGGAGGTGCTGCCTTTTGGCTCCAGTAAGGAAAGGCTCAACCTGTGGGGGAGTGTTACCTGAGTCACAGCAAATGAAAAGATGTGTTTTGGCACATGATCCATCTTAACGAAATCCCAAATGGAATTTTTGTATTCCAGCCAGACTGACATTTTTAAACATGTCACATGGTATTCCAGTAAATTAGTCACTTTCATGTTTACAGTAAACATTGAACATAGTCATGAATAAACGATGACAAACTGACTTTGTGTTTACTTATGACAACTTAGGTACTTTGTGAAACCTTTAGAAGCAATTATTGTTCCAATAAATACTATGAAATTTCCAGAGCATATTTCTGTTTTTAAAGGTGTCTTCCATGCATACTGCATCTTTAAATACATGATTATAATGAAATTAGCGTAAGTCCCACTCTCTGGCAAAATCTCTCTAGGGGTCCTTTGTGTCTATAGTTACCATTACTTATTGCTTATACATTCTAATGTAGTAATAAGCAGATTAAAGAAGGTTAACCTTGCAAAAACAAAGTGGAACTGATAGTTTTTAACAAGAGTCAATCCTTGAAACTTGCTATGTAACATGTTGCATGAAGCAGCAATACATGGGGATTATGGGTGTCAAGCATCAGCGATATCCCAGCGTTGATGACACTACTTGGCACATCAGATCAGTCATTTTGATGCCAATACACAAGCCATTAAAGTGAAACCCTCAACAGAAAGTACAGGCATTGCATCAATCTGAGAACAACCTGTAATTTACTGACTGGGTAATGATGGACAGGCGATAGCAGGGACAAACGTACAGTTTTCAGGCAAATACTATGGAAATACAATAGTCTTATAGTTAAAAACAATTATCATCCACGAAGATGACACTTATATCTATGTAGATTATACTTATATCTATGTGCACATGTACTTAAATTATACTTACATCTTAGTGGATTATACTTACATCTTAGTGGATTATACTTACATCTTAGTGGATTATACTTACATCTTAGTGGATTATACTTACATCTATGTAGATTATACTTATATCTATGTGCACATGTACTTAAATTATACTTACATCTTAGTAGATTATACTTACATCTATGAAGATGATACTTACAGCTACTTAGATTATACTCACAATTCTTAGTTGATTATACTAATGTCTGAGTGGATTATACTTACATCTACATAGATTATACTTACATCTTAGTGGATTATACTTACATCTACGTAAATCATACTTACATCCACATAGATTATACTTAATCTCAGTAGATTATACTTACATCTGAGTGGATTATATTTACATATACGTAGATCATACCTAAATCTTAGTGGAATTTACTTACATCTTCTTGCTGATACTTATATCTTCAGGGGTTAGGTTACACATAAGTGGGTAGGGGACAGTTGTTTTGTTTTATTGCTTCCGTCAAAAACATTCTGTTCTGTGAAAGGAAGAACTAACAATTCGTTCTTATCACACACATTTTCTCAGGATATCCAGTAAATCTTTTCCTGTTCTTGAAGGTGACACATTTTATTTCACAATATCTTCTGGAATACATGTTTTGTTTTCCAAGATATATCACCAAACAAGGCATCTCAATCACATGGTGACTGTAGGACAGTGACTAATGGAAGTCTGCGACAACTGAGCCATAGTTAGACAATAAAGCAAGATGGCTTTCAAAAATAATCACAGGACTACAAAGCTATGTCAAACAAAATGTTTTTTGTTGTTTTTTAACTAAGTGAAAATCAAATTAAATCTAGAATCCCTTTTTTCCACTTTCATGAAATGAGATCCAAGTGAAAGCTGTTTTTGCAACTCTTCCAACTAAAGTTAATGCCGTTCATGTTCCTTTAATCTTCTTACAGCCATTACCATGCTCAGAAGGTTCAGCTTTCTTGGTCTTGTGACTTCATCTCAATACCATGTTTCAACTTATTGTCAAATGTCAATGTTATGATATTTTAAATCCAATTTATAATTTGGACACTATATGACATCATATATGTACTCGGTATGACCCTTTCGGAAGAGATAATATTTAACGCAAAAATGCATCATGAGAGAATTAAAGAGCAAGATCAAAGCACTAACTTTAAAGCAACGTCAAGGCTCTAAATGATGCAAAAAAGTGAACACATGCTGAATCCCCTTATCACTGAGTCAAGTTAGCCAAAAATAGACACAGATGCTGGGCACCTCACCTGATTTATTCTGTATTATTCCTTGTATTATAGATTTTTGGAAGCTAAAGAAACATTCATAGTTTTCTTGCTAATCACATGAGAAGCTGTAAAACATCTCATTCTCCCATGTAAGACAACTTCATTTATATGATCTGGGTATTTACCATGTATGTGTGACATCTTACCCCTCGTACAGCACAATGAATTACAAAATACATGGTCGACCGAAAATATATGATGTCCGAAGGCATGAGAATATTATTAGATCAGAAAGGTCATAAAACTACATGGATAGAGAAGAATAAGCAAGGTTGGGATAATGTTGGTTTTTTAACACTGCACTACGCAATATTCCAGCTATATGGAGGCAATCTGTAAATAATGGAGTCTGGACCAGACAATCCAGTGATCAACAGCATGAGCATCAATTCTGATACAATGATGTGTCATCCTAGTCAGTGAGTCTGACACCCAATCCCGTTAGTCGCTTCTTATGACAAGCACTGGTTGCTGAAGTCCAATTCTAACCCGGATCATCAGGGGTGCTCTAAATTAGTAAAAGTACAACAAGGTTAATCACAGAGGGATTTATGTGAATTCTGATGCCAAAAATGAAATCAGGGGTAACCAATTACTCTATGTACCAAATTTTGTTTAAATACACCAAAAAACAGCAATGTTGTCGGAAAATTAAGGTATTTTCCGCGAAAACGGCGGTTCACAAGTTTCGAGTATTACATGTACAATATCGATCCAAACCTGGACCCCGAATTTGGACACTTTATTTGCCTCTAAAATATTTATTAATGGTCTGATTTTCAAAAGGAAAAGTGATCTGTAGAATGCCAGCTATCAGACAATGTTATTTATAATCAGTTATCTGTAATATGAAAAAATCACGTAGCATAGCTAGTAACTGATAGGGGTGAAACAACATGGCATTGTCTTAGGTCATGATGTGTTTTGAAGCATGATACATAGGTCACAACATAATACATATTGCATATTTACCCCTAATTCCGTGGAAACTTCCCAACTACAAACATTTCTGAACAGGTGCCAAAGAAGGAACAGAACAATCACAGAAACATGTTCGTAAGAGCTATTTTGGGTTTGAGCAAGCTTGAAACATTAATTACATTTGGCAATATTTTGTGACATTTGATAGCCAAATGTGGAGGAGGATATTAAACTAGTAGTAAGTGTTTAGAAAGTGTATCAAAAACAAATTTGTCTTATGTATGGTATTATATAGTCATAAGTGCCAGTGTATCATCATAACACTAAAAGCAAAGGAAACACCAATGAGTTTACTGTACAGACCTCTCCTCAGAGTGTTCCTCAATCTTTCACAATGATGCATGTATCAGTACAGGGGTGGAAATAACTTTAAAATTGCTAGTGTACTCCGGTACAGTGGCACATGTAAAATCACTTGCCCTAATAATCTTTCCACTATACTGTCCGTTTTCTTGTTGATGTTTTAAATAAATAACATTCTTAACATTGGAAAGTCAACTGGACGCCGGTACAGCGTGATATACAAATTTGCTTGCCCGACAGAAAAAGACACTGGACTTGGACGTGGGTTATTTCCACCCATGAAGTAGCTAAACAGAGGGTGAAACACCACTGGTGGTAGCTTCAGAGAAGTGTAAATATCAAAGGAGGAACTTGTGTCAAATATAACAATTCATCTGAACAAAATGTATTCTTGATAGCTATATTGTTTAAGTAGTAGATGCAGTCTATCAAATTCCATAATGATACACACAAAATTTTGCTCTGTAACAGAGAATAATTACTTTTTAATTGTATTTTACATAAAAGAGAACTCTGTATTTTAGAGAGATGTGAAGACTTCTATAGATTGGGGTTGTTGTAAGGTCATAGCTGGGTAAGAGAAAAATTACCCCAACAATTTATGATAGTTTGCATACCAGATGCGGAATTGGAATTTCAGTGTTCCCTAGCGATATTTTTGTAATC